ATAAAGCATTACCATTCCTAAACAGAAAAAAAAAATCAATGTCCGTATTGAAAAAAATAAATGAGTTTCTACTTCCAATATTTAAATGCTATGACTTATAACATTGTAAAACCAATGAACTAATGATGTTTTATTGCATTTTTACCCCGTTTGTGACCCTGGACCATAAAAGCAGTCATACAGTAGGTGTCAATTTTTTTTTAAATTGAGATTTTTACATCACTGAATAATCTTAAGCTAAATAATAATCTTTCTATTGATAAACTTTTGTTAGGACAGGACAATATTTAGCGAGATACAACTACTATATTTAAAAATCTGGTATCTAAGGGTTTAAAATGTCCAAATATTGACTAAGTCAACTTTAACCCTTTAAAGTGCACTCTTTAAAAATAGTTTCTTTTTGGCCCACATCTTGTATTGTGTAGTATGCTGACACAACTCTGATATATAGTAATAAACAATTAAAATAATAATGATAATACTGATATTATTAGTAATGATAGTACTTATCAATGCATGTTACTTATTTAATAATTTATAAATTGAGTTTCTATGTATTTAAAGTAAGAAATATGCTAAATATCTTCTTGGAATATGGTCTTTACTCAATGCTACAATGATTTTTGCCATTACAAAAAAATCTTGACTATTACAAAAAATATATTGCACAACATAACATTGATTTTGTGGCCAAGGGTCACATTTGCACAAAATATTCACAAATTCATTATGGTGGAAAACACTGTAACGTTACTATACTATATATAATAGTATATAGTATAGATACTATATATATGACTAGAAATGACCTAGTATATCAACACCACTCAAAGTGCAAAAGCAGATTTAAATGTAGCATTTGATCAAATAATGCACTGAATGATTTAATTACACCAGTGATAGGACTACAGTATATAGGGCGCAGAGACTAGGGGGCGGACTTTTTGAATACCCCAGTTGCCACCTACACACTAAAGCTTTAGCAACCCACCAGAAGCCTTTAGCGTTATAGCACTCGCATTTTCTTTAGATTTTCTTTTTTATGAAGTCACAATTGATTTTTCAGGTTTAAAGTAGATGGCCATTGTGTGCCTGTTTTTGCTATATATGCTTACTTAAATGTGGCCGTCATGATTTTTAGTCATTCTCATTGATTGACAAAAGCATTTTCTCATCCATAACATTCCCATGGTCATCCCAGTCATGTGTGATCATGTCAGGATGTTTCCATGACAATTCAAATCAGAAATCACTATTCAAGAACAAGAGAATAAGCACAATGATTACAGAAATGTGTATAATTTCACCGTAAGAATATAGTACATCTTCAAGAGCTCTGGATGTCTTCAAAACATCTCATTATTGCCTGCAACATGTAATTAGCATCTTTAGAAAAGATTCACACACAAAATTACAAATGTCTCAAATAATGTTCATTTGAATGGACTTTTTACATCAGAGAGAGAATGTTTTAGACATGTATTGCAGATGAATAAACTCGCTTAAATGCTTTCCAGATCAAAATGTTCACAACATAAGATGTCTGGCTGATGTACATCCAACATTTGTATGTCCAAACATCTATAGAACAGAACAGTTGGGTTCCCGAAGTAAAAACCATCTTGATCTCATGAGAAAGTACATAACTACACTACCTGACAAAAGTCTTGTCATTGATCTCAGTTGTAAAAGCAACAAATAATAACTTGACTTCTAGTTTATGACTGAATACTCTATTGAACTGCATCCCAACCATTACAAATATTGCAGAAGACCTATTGGAACCCACATGGACCCAATATTCTCACACAAATTAGAAAAGTTTGGCAAAGGAAAAATCATGGTTTGGGGTTACATTCAGTATGGGGGCATGCAAGAGATCAGCAGAGTGGATGGCAACATCAACTGCCTGAGATATCAAGACATTTGGGCTGCCCATTACATTACAAACCACAGGAGAGGGCAAATTCTTCAGCAGGATAGCATAATACTTCTTACTCATACTTCAGCCTCACATCAAAGTTCCTGAGCGCAAAGACGGTCAAGATGCTCAAGGATTAGCCAGCCCAGTCACCAAACATGAACATTATTGAACATGTGGTAAGATGAAGGAGGAGGCATTGAGGATGAATCCAAAGAATCTTGATGAACTCTGAGAGTCCTGCAAGAATGCTTTCTTTACCATTCCAGACTTTATTAGTAAGTTATTTGAGTCATTGCAGAGATGTATGGATGCCGTCCTCCAAGCTCATGAGAGTCATATACAATAATAATTATTTTTCCACTGCACCATGACATTATATTCTATACTGTACATTATTTCTGTTAAGTGACAAGACCTTTGTCTTAGCAAAGTCAGACCTTACTGTCCTAAGTAGATAATTAAAAATTCAGTCATGATCATATTTTATTTTGGTAAAATAAGCGTAATCTAGAGACTTTTGACTTTCATATAAGCCACTTCTGACACCAAATGATCAACTAGAAGTCAAATTAATTTTTTTTGTTCCTAAAACTTGGGTAGGCGACAAGACTTTTGTCAGGTAGTTGATGTTATGTATTGGTGAAAAAGTAGCTGATTCGTATGACTTCCTACTAGTTCATTCGTATAAAACATACAGTTTTTAAAAGGGGTGTCCCCAAGCTCCACCCTTAAAAATAATGTCATTGGGGGACGATCAAATCATACTAAAATGTAAGCATAAAACCATACAAATTTATACAAATTATCCATGAAATCAAAAAGTTAAAAAATTCTAGAGACATTTTGCTGTAAAAACTTAATTTTACCATAAGGAAACTTTTAACATTAACTATACCTTTAATGAGAGTCCTATTTTGAGATTAGTGATTGTGCGTGCTTTTGTTGAACACTTGAAAAAAAACTATTGTGTTTAATAGTGGAATTTGTGCAGAAAATGTAGTTTACCCTAGTTGCAGTAACTAAAAATTAATTGTTATTGTGACTCATGTGGAGCACTGAGAATGACATTAGTCTCTCTACATTCTGAAAACAATAAAACATATGTCCATATTTGACAAAACACTTTTCCTGTTATTTAAATTTAAATTATTCACAATGATTTGTGCGATTGTGAAGCTCATTAAAGTCATTTTGTCCAATTTAGCTTTAAATCAATTTTGCTTTTTTTTTTTTTTTTTTTTTTTTTACACACTGCTGGTTGGTTTGGTTAGTGGTTAATGATTTTTTTTTTTTTTGTATAATACTTCCTAAAATACATTGGTTAAAAAGTGGATGGACAAAATATTGCCTTTCCATTACAAAATCGCCACGTTTCAGATCTGCTTTATTTAAAAATAATTGATCTTCACTGCCTGATAGATATTTGATATGAAGTTGGCCTCAGACCAGACAAAAAGCGCAGCATTAAATTCCATTTTCATATTTTAAAGAGATGGCAATTCCATTGCCATCTCTCTAAAATATGAAAATTTATTTTACCTCAGTATCTTGAATAGAGTTTCTGCGCTAGCCTGCTGACTGATGGCGCTAATGGTTACCGGTCTATCATCTCGTTTTATGCTTGAACAACAAAATAAATGCTTAAGTTTATTTAACTGATTGTGTTTTAATAACATCATGATGTCGATGCTGTAAAACCTTATAAAACCTTATAAAATTTTAAACAGTCACAGAAACCTTTGACCAGATGTTTACGGTTGGCTGAAAAGCACTAGCTGTCCATATAGCCCATTATTGTGAACATAAAATACAACACATATATTACTTGTCTTACAACCTGCTCCAAAAGCAAAAAAACAAAAATCCAAAAAGATTTTGTAAAGAAGTAAATATATAGACAAGAAAAATGAAGACAGACAATAGGACTTGACATCACTTCATTAGAAATAGCCTGCATGTAATTTACCCCCAAGGTAAATTGATGCAAAATATTGGGTTATATATGTTTGTATTTATCCATACAGTATGTATACTGTACATTTACAAGGAAAAACATGAGCATCTTAGATATACAACGTTGATAGCTGAAAAAATGCATCATACAGTCTCTCATATCATATAAGAATGATTATTATGTAAGAATGTCTTCAGCTACTTTTCCAAGCCTAGAAAACACCATTTTACAATCCCCTTCTATTTCTGCAATCATCTTCGCCTCTTCAATGAAAACATACCAGAAAAATCTGGCTTGAACCACATGGACGCCGTAGTACAAGCAAGTCACACAATACAAATACGCCAACAAGCAAATAACAAGTCCAGTTGTTGTTGTTGTTGTTTTTTTCTCTCAAATACGTTGGCAAATGTTCATTTTTCTCCCAGCGTGCTCCGTCCGCTCTGTTATAGCAAAGTAACACGGTGCGCGCTGGAGCGTATGTACTCGCGCGCTCTCCATAAGTCTCAACAGCTTTCAGCTAATTGGCTTCTCGAAACGCACGAAGCGCGCGTGCTGCTCCCGGTGCCACACCCTCTATTCATTAAACAGCCCTGACACCTCAGTGACATCTGAGTCACCAGTAAGCAACGTTTAAATTATAGTCAAGCTTCTCTACTACCGCATTCACGCTGCGAAGATAAATGCTACTGCGCGCGTAACACAATAACATAGTTAGGCAAAAATATAGCACATAAAATCCTCACATTTCCTAATGCAATGAATATATTTACGGGTTAAATATCAGCGCTCAGCTATTAGTGAAATAGGCTAGTCCACCTGCGCTGACAAGCACGCGCCGCTCATTTATCTTCACGCGTATTGTTCAGTATAAAGGGATCCTTTCACATATAAACCCATTTCTGTAGTGGTTAAGTAACCAAAACAGCCTTGTTAAAACACCGGCCTGCTGTACAAAATGTCAACTGGTATAATAACGCATGATTTTAGCCTAACCACAAGGACATTTAAGCGGAACCCTCGCTTTAAGCGCTAAGAGGGCATCATTCCGCCTGTTTACAGTGCACACTTCGCGGATGGAGAGCATACAGAGGATGACAAGGCAACAAAGAGCCCTACCTGTCTCTCCAGGTTTGACGCGCGGATTTCCGTCCAAATGCCGACCATTGAGGGCTTCGGCTGCCACCGCCCTGCTGCTTCTGTTCTCCGTCAGAGGATGGAGACTGACTGTCCGAGAGGATGAATGAGCGGGCGGAGGGGGAAGAGCAGCTCTCGGGTGGATGGATGGATGAGAGGAGAGAAGAGGAGGAGAGGAGCGTATAGGGGGCGTATGCGCGCACCAAACTCCTTCCTCAGCCGCTGAACTGAACACGCACCGATTTCATCATCACGGATGCGCTATGAGCCCCCTATTCAGCTCTATGGCCATCCATATCTACCGCATTCAATAGTGTGAGTCACTGAGGATACATAAACGTGAAGGGTCAATTGTGGCCTGTGTAATTATATTATAATGACATTGCATTAATCGTAAAAACTGTAATAAAAATAAAGAAAAAGAGAGATTAATAGTTTCTTTCTGTCTCTATACGTTGCCATTTTTTTCTTAAACAGACTTTTAGAAAATATTAGGTTGTCTGTGAGCATGATGGTTTCATTTGGTGTTTGTAGATCATTCCAAGGCATCCCAAACCCTAGGTGACCCTAAGTAGAATTTTATTTTGAGGTTCCTCAGTGCAACAAATAGCCTGTAATATTGTCAATTTCCTATTCACACATCATACATCTAAAACACAAATTATCAATTGTATTTGTTATGTTGCTTACATGATACTTGTTACTACTAGTCCCAGCTACTTGCCACAAAACTAAACAATTTAATCAAATCATTGATCTCAACTGTACTAATGTATTAGCACGATATTAAATGTAAAACTGACAGGAACAAAAAAATAGCCTAGCTGCATGCAGCCTTCACTAACCTATAATTATTATTTTTAAGCCACAGTTAATATGGCGGCAAATGTCAAGACAGCAGAGTGAAAGAAATTACATGCACAAAGGTGGGTAGTAACGAATTACATTCACGTCGTTACATTTACTTGAGTAAAATTGTCGGGTAATGTGTACTTTTTGAGTACAATTAACTCTTACTCGAGTAAAGTATTAGAGAAAAATAATTTCTCGTCCTTTGCTACATTTGGCGGCGTTCCTCCATTACAGTCAAATGCTAATAAATATGATTCATATGACTTGTTTGCAAATATAGCGAGGCGCCGCATTGGAGAGGTTGTGTCACGAGAGGTTGCTGCACGTCTCCTGCTTTCGGTTAGAGCCTGCACGCCTATGTAGGAATGATGGCTAAAGTCGAGGTTGTACTGCGAGTTTATACTTATGTCATGCCATGGCACGCTGTACATCAAACTGACATTGTCAAAATTATCCCAATTTAAACCTTAATAATGGTAACTATGGGATGACTAAACTGCTGTTTAATGGAAAAACTGCACTTATTAGTCATTCACACTGTTAATAATTTATAAAATAACATTTAAACATAATTTTTTACATAAAAATTGTTCTTTTATCTTCACCATGATGACTGTAAATAATATTTGACTTGGTATTTTTCAAGATTCAGCTTAAAGTGACATTTAAAGGCTTAACCAGGTTAATTCAGCAAGTTAGGGTAATTAGGCAAATCATTAATATTGATGTAGACAGTCAAAAAATATTCAGTAAGGGGGATAATAATATTGACCATAACATATAGTTTTAAAAACATTAAAAACTGCTTTTATTTAAGTTGATCTAATAATATCAACTAAAATATTATAAAATACTATAGGAAGTACTGTGAAAACTTCCTTGCTCTGTTAAACATCATTAGGGAAATATTAAAAAAAAAAAATTACAGGAGGGTAAATAATTTTGACTTCAACTGCATACATAATGAAAAGTAACTAGTAACTATTTACTTGAGTAATTGTTTCATCACACTGTAAAATGTAATTAGTTGACCTTACTTAAAAAAAGTATGCAAACTCGTTGCCTCAAAAAAATTAAGCAAAGTAAACTTAAGATTAGTGAGTTAGAAAAGCTTGTTTTTTTTAAGTGTGCAGTACTATATCAAGTAGTACCACTAACACGTTTTTTTATGTTCATGTAACTTAATAGCCATGCTTAGTGTTAACTTAATTTTTTCATTTTGTGTTGATTGCTTGATATAAATTTAACCCCACTTAGAATTACTAAATACCTACAACTTAACACTATCAGTTCTGCTCACTCATTTTTCAAGTTCACTTAAATTAAAGAAACCAATTTCCTTTAATTAGCTGCAACATGTGGCCTTTTCTCTTCCCCATTTATCTATTTTTGCTGTTACTATGTGATAAAGGCAAGCACAACACAAACATATAATTTAAAAGAACACTCACTGGTTTGATTCAGCTCCATTACAAAATTTATTCAATGCACATTCAAGTACAAAACAGCAGCTAAACAACCAAGTTGTGGTTTGATTTAACTGTATAAAATGACAAGGAAAAAAAATAAAAAATAAAATAAAATAAAAACATTTCTGTGAGCCAATTGTATGCATGTCTTCCAATATTAAACAGGTAACTACAGGACGATTTCAGTGCATGCAAAATCAATGCATTTCTGATCAAAACCGAAAGTACAACAAATACTTTTGTGTCCCAAAGAGAGCAGTCCAAGGATTAAACCAACACAAATAAAAAAATCATTAAAAGTTTTCCCAAAAAACAAATGTAAACATTTACTTGTTGTAATAACAACTAACAACTCATTGCAACACAACGTGGCACTATTTCCATCATTAGCATACCTGCATAACATGGTAGACTTTAATGGAATATTCTTTTTTTTTTCCATTGAGAACTTAAATAAGCGAGAACAGTTCCATGAAAGCATCAAACTTTCTCTCATAAGAGGAGAACATTAATGGCTGCAAAGCTTACAAAGTGCTATCTGACAGCCGACGGCTCTTTACTGTTCTAACCCAGAAGACTGTTCTTCAGAGTTAACAGTTTTGGTGGGAGTCCAAGCATCACAGTCTGAATGAAGTTGAGTGTATTTGCCATGCATTTTGGGTAATCCAAATGCAATGCATATGAAAGACCAAACAAAGGACAAACTGCCTGAGGCAAGTTTTTAATATGATCCATGACAATAACTCCCTCCAGAATGATGGCAGTGGAGATGGGCTGGAGGTCCACTGAGCTTTGACCCTCGTGAGGACTACCTTCACTGACAACTGTCAGCACACCAACAGTGATGCATTCTAGGGCCTCGTCTCTCTCTGTATCCTAAAAGACACACATTCTTCAGCATTGCAATTTATGCTATTCTAAAACATTCTTTTTTAGTGTTGTAATGTTATAAGAGAATATGGTTTTAAATATGTTTTCACACTGGATTGTAACAATAAAGCAAACAAAATGTATTTGTTATGGTTAAACTAAAGCTAAAAAGGTCTATACATCCTCAAAGAATGACACTGACTTTTCAACCTACAAAATACATCAATCACTGTACAAAATGTATATTGTATATTGAGCAGATAGAATTACATCTATGTCAACGCAGGTATAGTTTTATGTTCATGCAGACTGTAGGATTACAAATTTAAGAATATGTTTAAGATCTATGGAAGACATTTTCTGCCAAATTTAAATAAATTAAATGACTAAAATGAAAATTAAAACCAGATTAACGATTTCATTAGAGAAAACTGTATGCAAAATGTGTGACAAAATTGACAATGAAATGATTTCATTCTCATGGTGACACTGCACCACCCCTGTCAAATTGAAAAATAAAATGCAATTGGTGATTTCACATTTCATTTTCACTACAGTCTCGAGGCAAGACAGCCAATATTAAAATGAAAAGCCAAACGTAAAAAAGAAACTACAAATAGTTTTACAAAAGCTCTTTATTAACGCTCACGCAATAATAGTGACAACTCAAATTAAAATTGTAAATTTTAGTTTTCATTTTAATTCCTCTTTTATTTTGGTAAAGTGTGTGTGTGTGTGTGTGTGTGTGTGTGTGTGTGTGTGTGTGTGTGTGTGTGTAAAATTTGCAACATGAAATCTGTGGAGCAGTCATAGAAACTGTAGCAATAGCAATGTCCTTAAGTTATCTGACACTAAGTGTTGGCAATGGAAATGTGTACTTGTCAATAAAATTATATGATATATTTAACCCTTTTGTTGTGCCTTGATCACACTTGACTGCAGCAGCTCATGTTCTCAAAAAAGAATCCTGCTGAAGAAAGAACCAAGTCTCCTTGTCTTCAATTCTAAGTGTTCTACAAGACCAAACTTTTTCTTATGTGCAAGTACTTACAGAGCAAGTCTTGTAGAATTCACTGGAGTCATCACCGAGTAAAATGGGAATGCCTTTGAGGACAACACAGCGAAGTGCTGTGACGTTTGGTGTCTAATAATACACAGAGCGAGAAAAGACCAGTTAACAGAGTAATTTGCAAGGCACAACCAGACAGGAAATAAAATAGGTTGGTCTGGATGGTCTCATTTAGAACTTAATTGATGAACTATCACACAGATCAAAAGCAAAATAAACCTACTTACCATCCAGCTCATGTGCTGCATCAGCTCCCTGAGTTTCTGGCCAACAGTTCCCTTTTTTGTTTTGAAAAGTTCAATGAACCGTGGGGCATCCTGGTCCAGAGCCTCAAAGAAGTCTCTCTCAAGATTCTTACTGGCGATTCCATTAAACTCAGCAAACACCTGAAAAAGTAGAGAGAAATGGGTAGGGATGGAGAGGTGGCAGAGGGATTAACATTCCAACAAGTGTTTGGATTTCTAGTCACACACCTTGAATTTATGTTTATTTGCATTATTTTATTGGTTGAGAACAAAAATTGCTTACCTGTCTCTCTGTGATATGTGCTAATTGGGTATGTCAAAGAATTCTGGCCACTGTTGTCTTAGCGATGGTGATGCTCCTACAGGCGACAGGATCTCAGTGTCTGCTGTGCTGCCCTCAGTGTCTAATGTTGTGGTGGGTGATGACAATGCTGTTAAATGGAGAGTCACAAGAGGGATGTGATTCAGGTAAATCAGTTATTTCAGTCAAATTGCAGAGGGCATTATTGGAGTCTTGATCTTCATACTGCAGTTTAAAGTCATACTGCAGTGACGGTTTATCCACAAGTTGCACTTTGAATTCTTCAATGGACTGTGGTCTCTTAATTAAAGTCAACTTACTTATATCATCTTCAGCGATGATGACTCTCAGTAACAACCTCTGGTCCATTTTGATAACTGTTTGAAAATCTGAAAAGAAAGAAAAGATCATTTTGGCATCAAACCTAGCAACATAAAGACAAAAACACTCAAATGCAGTATCAGATTTGAAATACCAGAGCTATAGGAAAAACTAAATCCTTGCAAAAATCTAATTATCAAGCTTTTAATCAATGAACTTCTTTAAGACAAGTGAACACAGCAGTACAAAAAGTAAATGGTAAATGACTCGCTTATGTGGTTAGACATCAAGGGAACTGTAGTCCTGGGTATGATGGACTATAAATCGAACCCACAATATCTATAGAGACAGTCCAGAAATACTAATTACATCAAATATTTGAAATTCAAAATATGCATAAAATATTCTGTATGATGAAATATACTATAATGAAATAATTTCAACACAATATTTTCTTAGCTTTTGTTGTAATCCAATTGCTCTGATGTAAGCATAACTTTTACTTTAGCATGCAATAATAATACAGTTATTAGTTGAAAATACCTTTTATTGCTGGGATTATGGAATGTGTGGATTGATCACCATCTGCTTGTGCCTGGAAGGAAACTGTTAAATAAAAATACAACAATTTAGCACAACCAAGTACATGTGAAAGCTGTAACATAGGCCTATAACCCACAATGACAGCTCCCAGTATATATGTTCCCTATCATAGCAGACTATGATAAACTGAGTGTAAAGATCTTTTCAGACATTTAAACACTCTTGTCTGTAACAAACCAAGACTGATCTGGGTAGTGGGTCCTATGGTAAACATGGAAACAGCACAGCTACGAATATTGACTATGAAGTGCGAAGTGTTAAATAAAATAACATTAAGTTAGTTGACTGTGGTGATATCCCCAATCATATGTCAACACAGAGTGGTAACATTAATCCTGTTTTTGATAAGCACAGACTGTTATTGCTGGTAGCTAAAATTAGCATAGTCTTTATAGACTATTTTAAAATAAAATTATACATCCAGACTTGTTCTGATGTTCTGCCTGAGCTTACAAACAACAGTTATAAAACTCAGGAAACTCCCAAACCGCCGGGATCAGTCTGTCATCATCATGCTAGCTGCTAGTCAGTACTCGATGACAAATGTTACTGACATATGCTAACATGGCAGGTACGGCGCGAGCGACAGTTAACGTTACTGCTACACTAAAGTTTTTCCTCAATTTTAACGTGACAAAAGTCTTGAAAATAATAAAGTATTGACCAAGTTTCATCAAAATATAGCCACGTTATGTCCATAATATAGTTAGCTAGCGTTAGCCGACATTACTACACACATCATTACTAGCAGGCACAAAACACTGGCGCTGACACAGAAACAAAACGATCTGCGCAAGGGTAAATTAAAATATTTACTCACCAAATGATTGTGCCAAGCACAAGAATCGCTGTTATGCTGACGATAATCACAAGTGCCGTTGAAGCGATGTTTAGGTCCAGCTCAATGATATCCAGCTTCATCTGGTTGGTCAGTTGCGGTGACATACCGTTTGCAAAATTACGAATCCCGCCACGCCAAGACCCGCCTTACGAAGCAGCTTGATTGGTTGGGGATGATTGATTGATCTGCGCATGCCCACAGTGTCATAAACTTACTTTTTCTAAATTAATCCAGCTCAAGTAGACTGAGCTGGTAAGATTTTTCAACCTCAAAGTACAAGTAACTTACTAAAAGTGAGTGTTAATAGCAGGTTGATAAAAACTGATTAAGGTCAATTTAATATTTTTAATTAAATACCATGTTTGCTTTTACAGTGCAGATGCTTTTTTACTCTTACTCTAGTAACTTTTACTTGAGTACAAATTTCCGCAAGTACTTGTACTTTTACTTGAGCATAGATTTTGTATACTTTACCCACCTCTGAATATGTAAATTAAGGTATATTCACTGACTGCAATTATATGCCTCATACTCAACCGGATAAAAAGAAACTATTTCAATACCAAGTTTATAAAACAGAAGCTTATTTGTATTACAAATTTTCATATATAGAAATAGAAACATAACTTTGATCTATACAAGCTAAATAATATGATGTATTAAGCTTGCAAAGCTATTTGCAATACATTAACTTTCCTGCAATGTTAAAGAATAGCAGCTTTTGTGTAATATAGCCTAATTAAGATTATTCTAATTTTTTTTACTTACCTTTTTTCCTTGCTGTATTTTCTCTTCCTCCGTTTTCTTCTTTTTTATCTTTTTATTTGTTTTTTTTTTATTTATTTATTTATTGTGATTGAGTGTTTTGCTGCAGTGATCATTTTTCTTCAATCAAATTCAGTAACAATACATCATAATATTATTGCATTTGAGTTACTTAATGTACTCTTGGTGCATACGGGGACCCTAAGCAGATTTTAAGTTCGCTTATGCTTTGGGCTTTTTGGCGGTGGAGCGTTCATTGCGTTCAAGTGGTTCACCTATTTTTTTATGTAACATATTGTCACTATAAAGGGATCTTTTTTTTATTAGTGCGTTAGTGCCCCACCCCTTTTTAGCAGAGATATAGTTACAAAAGTATTTCACATATTTTTATATTTATTTTTTTTCTATACATGTTTTTAAAGCATAACACTCTATGAACTAAACCACCCAGCTACAAGAATGACATTACAAATGTTAATTTAAAGCAAATAAAAAAATTATTTTAGTATTATTTAGTAGCCTGTTAGTATACAACATTTTGACCATACCTGTTAACCTCTCGTTTTTCCTGGGATTTTCACATACTTCACAAAGGATGTCCAATGCTCTGAAATCTAAATCTGTTCTGCACTTCCGTTTTAGTTAGACATGAAAACACATTGAAAGAAATTAAAAAAAAAAAAAAAAAAACAGCGGGATTCCCTTCTTTTCCAATACTGGCGTTGTATCACTTATTTTCACATCCCAATGTTGACAGGTGGGCAAAAAGACAAGTATAAAGTGTGTATAAAGATTTTAATAAGGGTGAAATACAATCATATGAAGCATTGCCAATGACACGCATGTTGTTGTGGCTTCAAGAATAAGCATATATATCCTATACAAGCACAAAGTAATAATTGTGAGAGTAAAGAGAGATTTCAATAAGTTATTTGCTGTGCTTTATGGTGGAGATCTGTTTTGGCACACTTTGCTTACTGTGACTTATTAGTCAAATGTTCTGGAGCACATCATGAGGAATGTAGCCTTATTCCATACAAGTTGCTGTTAAATACAAATGCTATTTGCAAACAGTGTTTGGTGTAATGAAAAAAGTAATAGATTCTAATAAAAGTAAGTGAGTATGCTTTAGATTATAAAAAGCAATGAACATAAAACATAAGTCAATGTAACAAAAAGTGTTTGGTAACAGTATTACACTCTTTAAAGGGTTGCGAAACCCCAAAACACATTTTTTGAGATGTTGACAGCCATTTATATGTCCCACATTGCTAAAAACACTTTTAGGACACATATATTTCACACAAAAAAGGGGAAAATTGGTTGTTTTTACGTTATAATAGCAAATTTGTTTTTCTGTTTTGAAAATAAAATTTGAAGCTGCATCACGGCCATGAAATCCTTCTGTAAATTCCATTGTGGAGACAGGATGTCTGTATCGGCCGGTACAACATGACATCTTTGAGTTTTCAGCAAAAATTCATGAGAAAGACTTGGTTTGACCCAATCAGAGAGCTCTATTGTGAATGAGATGCAACTTCATTAATATCCATGATATAGCTTCGAAGGCGTTATTACCAGTTACAATGTTCAGAGAGATGCCACATTGTGATGCCAACCATAATTAAACAAGTGGAAGAAGAATTGTTCTGTGACATGAGAGCACCAATTGCATATGGACATGTGTGGATTACAGTGGTCTAGCATGCAACAAAAAAAAAATTAAGGAACATATTTAACCTGAGAGCTTTTCACATCTGGAAATGGTAAAATATGGATTTGCTACTCATCTTCCTTTAAAAAAAAAAAAAAAACACGGTTCCAGTTTGTGTTGATTGTTCTGTCACTACGGATTTGGTAGGTGGGTGATCAGTGTTCTTTGTTTATGTTTATTCAGAGGGCAAAGTTAGTTAGTATTAACAGCAGTACTCTTTCAATGTTTAAATACATACTTTAGTATAATTATTTTGTTACTATGTTTATAGTATGTTAATATCACTACAACATTATGGACTGGAAGATCCGCTGTAATTGCTGCTCTCTGAATGTAAACACCTTATTCCAACTATTACCGTCGTGTAGGATTTTCAACACATTTTGTGACAGGATAGTCTATACACACATGGCTGTTTAATGCTATTCTCTGCACCTATTGAGTCATCTATCGAAAAAATGGGAACAGTTTTCTCCCATATGGTGTGCAGTATCAAATTCCATTAAACCAGGGGTGGCCAACCCTGTTCCTGGAGAGCCACCTTCCCATATCAAAGACACCTGAACCAATTAATTAGGACCTGAACACCACGTGATAATTACAGGCAGGTGTGTTTGATATGGGTTGCAACTGAAATCTGCAGGAAGGTGGCTCTCCAGGAACAGGGTTGGCCACCCCTGCATTAAACCAACACCCTTCCAGCAATTTTTCACATCCAATTTCTTGTTTGTCATGGGGGCATGCATAAAATGTTCCTGAATGAAAGTGAAAGTGCCAAACTGCAGTTAAAGTCAACAAATTGGGAATGAAACACCTGAAATGACATAAAACTCTGGAGGAAATGTGGATAGCGTGGTGACGCAATGACGTTAATCGAATTATGTGCCAACATGTAAAACAGGATCATGAAAGGAACATTCAAAAAGCAACTCATGTAAACACCTTAATCATATTATTGCCTTATTCAGAATAATGTCCCTTTAAAATGTTCCAAAAGGTGAATTTTGCAGCAGTGCCATGCATGGAAGAACCACTTTACTTCCCCAAAAAGTATTCAGTCCACAGTTCTTAAAAGGCTTCAGTCCAGCTAACTTCAATTTTCTTTGCGATCTCTCCGTAGCAATGAGCCTCATTTACAAAACAATCTTCAATCCAAAAAAACACATATAATCCTCAGACACTATCCAGGACACCATTAAAATTAAACCATCCACTTGTTTCTGACATCGAGATCCTTCAGAAGTCTCTACAGATATGCAAATGAATGCAAATATGAAAATGTTTGAAGTGGACATGTCAAAGCAAAAGTTTCTTCACTCTTCAATGCAGTGTAACTCTGCAAACGAAAGGCTTTGTTTGCACTAGAGCATATTCATTTCAAAATTGCAAATTTAGAATGACAATGCTCCTCATCCATATTGCTTTTTTACTGCATTACCAAAATAAAATCAATTTACACCCATACAGCCTTAAATGCATTTTACTAAGTTGGTCATATGAGAATCCAGTAGTAGATCAGTCAGAGAGAACTTGTGGGTAGCCACACATGCATATTTAAAAGTTTGTGTTTCAGTCTGTCTGTATTTAACAACAGGATTTCCAAACTGAAACATGGTCATTGGTGTTTTTAAAATGCTCTGTTCATGTGGCTAAAAGATGGCCGAGTACTAGTAGTCTGGACACCCAAACTGTAACAAAAAGTATGTGTGTTTAAAGAGAAATGCATTATTGCAAGCTGCAACTTTGGTTTGAAAAGTAGAGATTTAATAAATTTACCTGTAATTAGGGACTGTGGTGTTACAAAATTCAGGGGAAAAACAGACCTACCTAAAGTTGTACAATAAAAGAAAAGCAGCAGCAAAATTACAAACAAAAATTACAAAAAATTTTTTTACAGACATTTTTTCACAAATTTCCTTTCAGCTTGGTCTCTATTTCAGACTTTGCTGTAACTATTCCATTTCATTCAGTTCACTTGTACCGCATGTCTTTGGACTGTGGGGGAAACCGGAGCACCCAGAGGAAACATACAAGAACATGAGGAAAACATGCAAATTCCACACAGAAATGCCAACTGGACCAGCAGGGACTCGAACCAGCGACATTCTTGCTGTAAGGTGACAGTGCTAACCAATTACAAAATTACAATTGCTAAATTTTAAAGCAACAAAATGAATATGTAAGCCAATCATATCAAATGTTGATCATTATTTTATTAATCATCTATCATGCACAACCAACAACCATCTTTAGTTAATGAAAACAATTAAATATTTACATTTATTTTGCTAATTATCTGTGCAGCACAAATATCTGAACATTAAACTAACATCAACAGTTTAGACAAGAAAATGTGATTATTCTGACCTGAGCTGTATACTGAATCAACCAACTCAAAACTTTTTCATCCATGTTGACATTAAAGTCATCTGATGCTGCATGGTGTTTTATTTCTGTGTGAAACAATTCTTGCAACTGCAATGCCTGCTCATTAGATCTTTTACAGAGTTATTTTTAGAGCATACATGCACAGTGATTAGAAGAGACACATTATTTAATGTGTTCCTTGTAATTTTATTGAGGGGGGAGGGGGGGTTGTTGTTTTTTTGTTGTTGTTTTTTAAATTTAACACTTTCCAATTTTTGTTCTTGCAAAACATTTAAAAGAAAAAGTTGGGACAGGGGCAGTTTATGGCTAGTAATCAGAATAATTGGTTAAATAATGATGTGATTTAAAACAGGTGATGTTAACAGGTGATTGTAATCATGATTTGGTATAAAACACCCTCCAAGAAAGGTCTTGTCGTTTAGGAACAAGACCTTTCTTAAAATACATAATTAAAATATTGAATATCACTCAGCAATGCAAT